CCAGAATTCAGGCAATTAGTGGGCTACAGAAAGGCCCTGGCACAGCATGTGGAAATATATTGTTGCACTACCAGGATTTAGCTCACAAAGACCAGCCTCTCTAATAGGTCTCTGCTCCAATGAAGACCTCAAGGCTTCCTTCCACAAAATGGCAATACATTCAAGACAAGTATTTGCTGTAAGGATCTGGGAAAAATGTCCTTTTTGGTTTCATTTAACTTGGGAATATCTAGAGAGCTTTAATTTGTAATTAAAACACACCAGATTTTATTTCATCACATGATGTGTCTGAAAACTAGTGTTTTCCTCCACATTTGGCCTATTTGGCTGACATTTAATCCCTGCAAGGCTGGAAGCTCTGATTTCTTCACTGGAACCAGTAAATGTCAGTTGAATACATTTGCTACATTCAATACACTGAAGCAGCTTTCATCTGGAGAGTGTCAAAGTTCATAATGTCCCATGGTTGGGGGCAAGGAGTAAGAAAGGAAAAATTATTTTTGCTACTTTTCTCCAGTCTTCCAGGCAAGGATGAATATACTGTACATTAAAGAACTGTTTTGTCTTTTGGTTTTTAGGAACCACATTAGATGTGTGTACAAAATTCTGCTCTATCTATGAGGAGGCTGGTACATGTAGTTAATTATTCTGCAGTTTTAGATAGCTCAACCTTTGTGCATGTTTTTTTCTGACATAAGTTCCCTGTATTCACCAGAGCTTACCCTCTAATGTTTTGGATTGCAGTTTTGAATGTTCACAGTTGTGGGTGGTCCTTGCTGCACATGTCAAAGAACATAGGGCTTCAAGAGAAGACATATTGGTGATGTATAATGCAGTATACTCTCTGTGCAGATGTTTTCATGATTTGTGCATCCTCCATGCGCACCTAGTCAGCAGCATGTGCCTTAAAATGCATCTTAAAAATCAGGATCTGAAATTCAGGATGAGGATCTGAATATAATCAATGTAATCACCAAGAGACAAGCTCAGCTTGAGGCAGACGCACCATTGTTATGTGTAGAGGGCTCTAGAAGTTTTATAAAAATAGGACCATTGCCTGTGAAATTTAATCCAATGAATTTAAATTTGCATCAATCTTCAAACTAGTCATTCTGCAGATCAAAGGATATTCTTTTAGTATTTAAACGCTCCCTGGACTTGTCACTACAGGCGGGTCTTAGGAGAAGGATCTCTTTCTGTGTGAGGGTGACAGGAGAATACTTTTTCCCAGGTAACCCTGCCACCTGCAGTTTCTACAGGTTTGTATGATTAAAAGGTGCTGCTTGATTACTTGGGGTGCCTTTTTGGTTGATTTAAAAGGTTTTCATCTTTGACTGAAAGACGAAAATCCTAGTTGTTTGGAAAAATACTTGGACAAGGCCCTGGAGAGTGGCAGTGAATTTCTGTGATGCAAATTGCTAGCGCCGCTATTTTTTTCTGTGCATTTTTTTGCTTGTAGGCTGGCAACTGGGGATGGGGGAGGAATGGTTGGTACACTTGCAGAGCAAGATTTGGCTCATGTTTTGTGAGATTTGTCCCAGGCACTGCCAGTTCCTATTTCTTAGGATAGACTGTGGAAGTCATTCTGTGGTAAGTTATATTTAGGAGATAACGTAATATAGAAAGGGTAAATAGCACAAAGAATTCTGAGATAATGCTCTATTGAATTAAAAATAATTCTCAGTTGAGCCTACAGAATAACAATTAATATTGTAGAATTCAAGATACTTTTCCCATTTATTTCAATTGGAGATTTTCATGCGAGAGACTAAGGTAGACTTAAACTTGACCACTGCTGTTTCTTTTTCTTCCTAGCTATTTATCTCCTCCATGACCTATGAATGTAATTTTCTAAAGCTGAATTATAACATATTCATGGATGACTCATGCTAACCACATTCACAATTCCTCTTCTTCCCACAGAAATCTTGGATGGTCCCAATGTACCCTATCCTTTCCCCTGCTTTTGTCTGGAGACATTGTAGGAGAGGCTGCAGTGGCAAAAATCAGAAGGCGTCTGGAAGTCCCTTTCCCGACTAAAAAATGTATTAAAAGACATAAGCTTTTTTGAGCTGCAGCATCTGATGAAATGAGCTGCAGCTCACAAAAGCTGATGCCTTTCCATACAGTTTGTTAGTTGGAAAAGGTGCTACCAGACTCCTCCTGATGTTCTGTTTCTGTCTGATAATTTTCTCAGAAATCCACACTCATTAGGCCCATATTGAGGGACACATTCTTATTTGGTACTTTCATGCTAAGAGTCTTAGGAAGGCCTGGATTAAAAAATAGGTGGGGAAACATGCCCTCCATCAAATCTTCAGAATTTATGACAGAACTAACTGCATATTTAAGGGAAGTGGAGCTAGCAGCAGACATTGCATTCCATATTAAGCTGTTCTCCCAAAACTCAGTAAGTACATAATAACCTTTGCCATCTGCCATGAAATCATGCAGTGTGATTAGAAAAGATGGCCCCCGGCCCCATTATTTATCTTTCTATAGCACCTAATAGTTTGAAGTGATTTTGTTAAAACTAAGTACAGTGGTACCTCGGGTTACAAACGCCTCTGTTAACGAACTTTTTGGGTTACGACCAGCTACGGCCGCAAAAATTTACCTCGGTTTGCAAACTCCGCCTCGGGTTTAGAACCAGATCCGCGGCCATTTTCCGCCCCTGACACGGTCCGCGGCCATTTTTCCGCCCCTGACACGTGGTCCGCGGCCA